ATAGAAATCATTTAACAATGGAACACAACTGTCATTCACTGAACCCATGTGGGAGTATGTCTTTATATACAAAATTAGACTATACTGCTTGAAATATCTTCATATAATCACATAAATGATAAAATTCCTGGTTTTGTTCATGCCTATTCAAAATTAACATTGGAAGGAAATGAGAAGAAGGAGAAAAGAAAGAAGAGAAGAAGAAGGAACAGGAGGAGGAGGGTGAAAAGAAATAGGGGGATGAGGAAGAGGAGGAGGAAGAAAAAGAGAAGTTTAAGTTGTCTGGTATTATTTTCAACCATGTGTTAGTGGACTGGTAGTCTTACTAAGGGGCTCTCTGGCATCTGTACAACACATCTTTTTATACCGCCTACCACTGTATTGTGGTTCAACCCTTCATCAACTAATAAGGTAGTTAATGTGTTCTCTACTATAAAAGTTTTATTCTCTTCTGGCATTTTCGGTCAACATTTCAGGGATTTAAAGTGAAAAAAAAATTAATAAGTGATCAAGAAATCACCTCTCTGTTTCAGGTTCATTTTGAATTGTGAATTTCCTAAGTGTGTGTTAACACAACTAAGGCAAATGAGTCACTGAGACTTCCTTCCAACCCTTAATCCCATGCAGAGCACAGAGAGAATTCCTTGGGTGAGAACTTGATTTCAAGATTACAAGAACTGTTCCTTATGCATTCTGGCTGGAGTTTCCTGTTTGTTTCAAACCATGGATTGAAGAAATGGTGTGAGAGAGAGTGATAGCTCATTTTCTAAGTAAAAGTGGACTATTAGTTGGAGTAGATTTAAATCTACATAGCCTTTAAATGTGCAGATTATACATTGTAGGGCTTGTTGCTAAACTACTCTTCGTTCATTTTGGAAGAGATGAGTTCTTGAGGAGTGGAAAAGTAAAATGAGGATTAAAGGAATGGGGTAGAAAAAAGACAATCATTTTTAAAAAACTAACTGCATACCAGAGATTGGTGAGCACTTCAAGTCTCTGAGCAACTCTAGAAAGACAAGATCAAGACAGGATAGCAAGAATATAGTAGAGGCAATATTCTCCCACTAAATGAAACACAAACCTGGAATAGTCCCAAAGACAATTTATTTTATTTTATTTTATTTTAGCAGACTCTCGCTCTGCTGCCCAGGCTGGAGTGCAGTGGTGCGATCTCAGCTCACCGCAACCTTTGCCTCCCAGGTTCAAGCAATTCTCTTGCCTCAGCCCCCTGAGTAGCTGGGACTACAGTTGCGCCACCACACTCAGCTAATTTTTGTATTTTCAGTAGTGACGGGGTTTTACCATCTTTGCCTGGTTGGTCTCAAACTCCTGACCTCAACTGATCAGCCCGCCTCAGTCTCCCAAAGTGCTGGGATTACAGGCATGAGTCACCGTGCCTGCCGGCAAAGACAACTTTTAAATGGAATACTCAAAATCACCTACTGCACGAATATCTGCTTCAGATAAACATTATAAATATCTTTTCATTTGAAATGATTTAATATAAACTAATGGTTAGCATTATCTCTCTTTCATCTCCAAAATTATTTTTAAAATATTTGGTAATTTTCCACTTATTGTTTCTAAAGAAGAAAATATGCTTTTATATTTAATGTGTGATTTAGCTTACTTTGAAAAAATTAGAAATGTATAGATAAATGATTGAATAGTATCAGCACTTTGGGCTTTTAAAGATAGTCATTTGCATTGAAATATTAATCCCTAAATTCTACTTTAAAGTCTGCAGGCATCATTAAAAAACAAACAAACAAAAATCCATAACTTTTCATTTCTTTTGCCAGTATTTCTTGGGGGCATACTTAATAATGGACAAACACCTTTCATATTAAGAAACTTCTTTTTTCCCTTTTAAATGGGAGATGTGACAAGCAACATTAAATTAATGTCTTTGGATCAATTGCAAAATTATTGTTCTACTATCCTGATATTTTGTAGCTATCTTCATAACTTTGCATACCTTTTCATCAAATTTATACCAACTTAAGTCCTCCTCTCTAATCAACTTGCCACTACCTTAATATTTCTTGCTAAGGAACCACCCAACACACTGCTGTCTCTGGATAGCGGTTCTTGCTACATTTCCGTGAGAAAGAGCATCCTTTCTCTCTTTCTACATAGTACTCAGGACTTCCTTATTCCACAGATATTTCTAATCTCATCTCACTTGATTCCACATTTATTTATTTATTTATTTATTTAAATTTTCTTATTTTTCGAGACAGAGTCTTGCTCTGTCGCCCAGGCTGTAGTTCAGTAACATGATCTCGGGTCACTGTAACCTCCGCCTCCCAGGTTCAAGCAATTATCTTGCCTCAGCCTCCCAAGTAGCTGGCATTACAAGCACGTACCACCACATCCAGCTATTTTTTTTTAATATTATTAGTAGAGACAGGGTTTCACCATGTTTGCCAGGCTGGTCTCAAACTCCTGACCTCAAGTGATCCACCTTCCTTGGCCTCCCAAAGTGTTGGAATTACAGGCTTGAGCCACCATGCCCAGTCCACATTTATTTTTGATGAAAATCAGAAGAGAGAAGTAAAAGTGTGAAATAAACGGTAAGGCAGATACAAGTGGCTCTCCTTAGAAACATCCTGAATAGGACGCTAGATAACTGAGCCAAGACTTGTAGCCATTGCACACCATTCAAAGGATTACCTCATATTTCCTGGGTGTTGAAGTCAAGTTAGGTTTTCATTCTACACTGGTGGGTGTAGGTCTCTCATTCTAGCATGAGGACACTAGTTGTGTCCAAGAGTTTGAGATTCCAGTCCAACTTCCCTCTTGTGAACATCTGCTCCCTTCTTTCAGTGAGTTTAATACTCAAAGAATATTACATGGGAAAGAAAGTCAAACACCTGTTTTAGGTAGGACCCCAGAGTTATGAAATCACACTATATGAGGTTGAAGCTTAGAGTATTTTGAAAAATTAAGTTAGTATTTTCCAACGTATATTCCTCTCAAATGATATTCATAGGACCTTAAGTTAGTAGCTAAAGTGGTAGTCGTTAAAGAATTTTGAACTGAGGCAAACTAACACAAGAGTTATCCTGATCTGATAGCAACTAGAGAGAATTGCGATGGTTAAAAGAATGATTATGAAAGCCTAAACTATGCGGTCTCAGAATTAAATAACAAATATAGACTCTAGAGATATCACTGGAGATGGAAGCATTAAGATTTGAAAACTTTTTGTTATTGATGAAGATAAATGATGGGGAAAGTGGACCACGAAGAACAAGGATTCTAGTATGAGTGACTGGGAAACATAGTTTCCCTTAAGAGAAAAGAAGGTAGCATGTGTTGTATATTTCAGGACTTGGGTGATCAGGGAAGGACAATGGAATAGGTTAAGTTTTATATAGGTTAAATTTGAGTAGATATGAAGACAGCAAGAAAATATGTTCAGCAGTTAGACATGAAGAACTGGAAATAGTCTATTTATTTAAGTAATGAGCACAGAGAAGATATTGGAGACCAGATGCATGGATATAATCAAAATTATAAAAGTATAAAGAGACAATAGGGCCAAGCATGATATCTCGGAGTACCTAAAATTAGGAAACAGAAACAGGAAGAATTCAAATGTTGTTATTAGTCACTAATAATATAGATGGATCATCTTTTATATCAATTTGGCACGATAACAGGATTAGTACTTGCTAATTTATTATGACACTATTTATTATTCCATTTCTCTTACGTTAATAAAAAGTCACTATTGTTTTGAAAACATTGCCAGCAATGTAATTCATTCTCTACTTATTCCAAAGATATTTACTCATAGGCATAAGGTTATGTGTTAGGCATTGGGAGCTATGTAGTTTAAAAAGACATGGTGTTTGGCTTCAAGGGACTTTTGCAGAAAAGTAGTCAAACATTCTTTTTTTTGTTTTTGAGATGGAGTCTTGCTCTTGTCGCCCAGGCTGTAGTGCAATGGCACGACCTAGGCTTACTGCAACCTCCACCTCCTGGGTTCAAGTGATTCTCCTGCCTCAGTCCCCCTGAGGGGGGACTAGCCTGTAGCTCAGATTACAGGCACCCACCACCACACCAGGCTAATTTTTGTATTTTTAGTGGAGGTGGGGTTTCACCATCTTGGCAAGGCTGATATCGAACTCCTGACCTCAGGTGATCCACTTGCATCGGCCTCCCAAAGTGCTAGGATTACAGGTGTTGAGCCACCGTGCCTGGCGAGTCAAATATTCTATTATATATTAATAAAACACAATACTCTTTCAAAATAGTGATTATAACTTAAACTCCTTTTCATCGATACCCTTGAATAGTACTGTGAACTGCTTTATCCACCGATTTTCACATTTATCCATCTCACTTGATCTTTATAACAATGCTGTTGAGAAAAACAGACAAGTATGTTTCTCCATCTGACAGCTTTTTCTGGCCTATCCACCCACATCTGTTATCTCTTAAGAGATTTTTCAGTCAGGGTAGGGTGTTGATGATGGAAAAATATTATGCAACTTCAACTCTCTTTCTTCTTAGAAAATATTAAAAACCTGTGGCTTCCTTAGGAAGATCGATCTTGTCACTAAAGTTCAGTTAGGCCTTTTCCTCAAATACTGGTAATCAGGAATCCATGAGTTTATTTGCAGAGTCTATTTTAAATTTTGTTGGTTTAAAATTATGTAATAGAAGTATATTTTATTATTTTCTGCATTTAAAATGACAAATTCATTACATAACATTTTGAAACCACAAAATGTGATACAAAAAGACATCAACCATAATTACCATTTTAAAGAAAACTATCATTTTGGTGTTAAAACTTAAGATTTTGGTGTTCTCTGAATATCTATATTTAGGTCTATATCTATATATACATCTACATCTACTACATATAGCAATGTCATATTTTATATTCAAATATGTAGCCTGCTTTTATCACTTAACATTATTTTTATCACTTAACAAAATCATTTTTCCTATAAATGGAATCCAACAAATGAAATATAATTTACCTTGCCATGTCTTGTGGTAGGATTATATTTGAAGGTTTTTATCTGGGAAAGGTGGAAAATAATGTACGTAAGTCTTGTTTCTGTAGTACTCTATGAAAACAAAAAGACCTTTAAGTAAAAGGGAGCTGGGGAAAGCGCCGAAGAGAAAATCCATAGCACTGCATAATCCCTTTATCTCTGAACCTGACCTGCTCACATTTTTACTAATGACTTGGACAAATATGATTGATAACTGTGTAGATGGCATAAAACTGGTAGAAGTAACAAATATGTTGCACGATGAAATCATAGTCCAAAAGGATCAAGCAGGTTGAAATGACTGGCTAAACCAAAGAAGGGTAAACTTTTAAAAGGATGAATATAAATTTTCACATTTTGGTTTTTTAAAAAATCACCAATATATGATATGAAATGTGAAATGAGTTTTTTAAAAAAATCACTAATATATGATATGAAATGTTAACAGAAAGTTCATGCAAAATACAAACAACAAGCTATAAGAGACAATAGCATAATCTGGCTGACAAAGAAGCTAACGCAATAATAAATATGACCAAAAAATACTATGACCAAACTGTAGAAGATGACGGCTCGTTTTTCTCTAAACTAGAAGTCAAAAATTGAGTTTGTTCATTTCTCTTCTCCATACCTTAAGAAGAATATATAAAATGGCTGTCGTTCAATAGAATGTACTCATGATGCAAGAAGTATCAAAATATAACATATAAAAGAAGGTTGAAAATATTAAAGATATTTAGTCAGGGCATAAGAATATTGAATTTTAAAAATTAATTTAATAGTTATATTAAAATATGTGGAGGGATTTAGGAAGATTTTTATTTGTGCTGATAGACATATTTTGTGCTCCACAAAAGCAAAATTAGGACAAAAGAATTATTATTATGGAAAGATTAATTATGGCTCAATACAAGCAATTTGACTGATATGTAACAGTTTATAACAACCATAATAACACATAACATTTGAAAGTATTCAAAAATAAGATGAGCTGACTCAGTCTATCTCATGTGTTTAGGAATTTTTAGTCTCCAGACCTGTTCAATAAAAAATTAGATAACATACAATCATCTACATTCTTCCCCTGCAGAATCTCATATATTCACATTGGTTAGGTTGTCACTACTGATGAGCCTAATATTGATTTCAAGTCTTCTCTGTTTCCTAAATTCTAGACACAAAATATCAGTATCTTCTTTGTTGTCTCTATACCAGTGGTTCTCAGTTGGGTGCAATTTTGTCCCTGCTTCAGGGAAGACTTGGAAAAATCTGAAGATATTTTTTTGGTTGGCACAACTGAGAGAGGTACTACTGATATCTGGTGAGTAGAGTCCATAAATATTGCTAAGAATCCTAAATGTACAAAATAGCTCCTCACCCCCAAAAAGGAATTATCCATCTCAACGTGTCAATATGACCAAGACTGACAAACCCTGCTCTACATATAAGTCCAACAGGTAACAAACTCAGCATGACAAACTCCAAACACATTATCTCCACTCCACTCTCCTGCTTCTCCCTTAAAATCCCAAGCATCCCTTCAATAAAGCTTAGTTTCTGTAACTTACTATGACTAATGCCACTATTAGGTAGCCAACTACATGAGTTAGAAATCTCAGAGTTAACCTTAAATCCTCACATTCCCTCACCTTTTAATTCCAAATTGTATTTATCTACTTCTAAAATGTATCTCTAAATCCACACCTCCCTTTTCATTACTGCTGCCGCTGGCAGTTTGGTCCCACATTTTCTACCGATAAGATTTTTATTTCAAATTCATCTTTTACATCGTTGCCGGGATTACATTTTTAAAACAAAAAAGCAATTGTCCCATTATCCCATGCAGAAACTATAGGCAAACCTCCATTATACAGTGAATAAATGTTCAAGCTTTGAATTGCCATAGAAGATGGAGTGGGAGTAACATTGTGTTTGTTACCATTTTTTAATGGAGTGTTACAACTTCTTCAGGGAAGATTAAAAATGTAATAGTCCTTTGATGACAGCACAGAAAAAGAAACAAATATTTGACTAATGCAGGAGGCCAGGGTAAAATCATTAAACATACAGATGTTTAAATGTTAAGTATGAAATTAAGAAAGACCACATGAAACATATTTGAGCATGCACCACACTGCACTGGATATATTAAAAGTATACAAGTATTGAAATTATTTTTAATAAGGTAGAAAAAGAGGCATGTGCACAAAATAATGCACCCAAATGTTTTAAATTTACCTTTGGAATTTGGATTGATTGATACTCAGTCATACACACAGGCACTCAGTCTTCCTCTCCACGTCTAAGCCGAATCCTTCCTAAGGAGGCCATGCTGTTGGCAGCAAAAAAACAAAGTTAGGTGTTCCAGGGAAGCAAATCTGGGGTTCCAGCCAAATCTCCACAAAGCAGAGAGTTCTCTAAATAATAAAGAGTTGACTGTGATGGCAAAAGTCTTCTTGCAGGTGCAGATGCATGTACTTTCGAATATAAATAAACTCTTTCAGCTGCTTTCCCTATCCCACTATCACCACCTTATTCTCATAGTGTTCTGATCTTACTGGCATTCTTAACTCAGAGATCTCTTTACTCCAACTTAGTCCACGTGTGGGGTGGAATATGAAAACGATGAAAATAAGGGAGGATATTGATAGAAATAAACACATAATAGCAAAATAAAAATTGGAGAAAAGGGGGAATAAAGACCCTTCTGCTATAAAGGGCTTTATGTTGGCTTCAAGAGTATAATTGATGAATATGGTTTAGAGTTAATATCTGAAAACCAACCTTAATGTATACATTGCTGACATTTGGAGTAGTAAGTAAATGAAATGGAGCCCAGACATCAGTTAAGATATCTGTGTTATCACTGAATTAAAAAAAAAAAAATTCCTGAACTTTGGTTGAAATTATTTTGTTTTCATCAATCTCCTGCATTTCACATTTATCTTTGTAATTAACTAGTTTTGACATAATCTAATTTCTTACCAGAGCCTAAGAAACTGTTGCACAACACAAGTTTGGAACATTTCATTTCCAACCTGTCAAACAAAAAAATTTCTCCTTAACAGTTCTTTTTATTATAAAATCTAAATCAGTAATTGATCTACTTAAGTACTGTTTTAGGAAAAATTAAGCAGAGTAATTTCTCAAGCTCTGCAGTATGCTTATCAGTGGCAAATGAAAGTTAAAAATACAGCCCACTGATTTGCACAGCTTCATTTTCTGATCTCTAGCCTAATGGTTATACAAACATAGATTTTTATTATTCTTCGCAATGTTATGTAGATCATCAAATCAGACAGACAGCATCCTTTTCTTATGGGTGAATTTTTTTTAAGTCTCATAAACTCAATATATAATCTGTTTAGCCATATGTAACTTGCCCGATATTGCAGTACTGACAAACAAAATCTAGGGGGATTCTCCACTTTTATCTTCCAGAAACATTTCAACATGAAAGATTGAAACAATTTAAAAATATATGTGAAAAGCAGAAAATTGTTTATTTGAAAATGTAACAGTAAATATTAAAAGTTTCTCAAATTGATGTACAAAACTATAAATGTATTTCAGAATAATTTATCATAATGATTTGCACTCATGCTGAATAAATGATTTCAGATTTGAAAACAGTTCATGAAAAAGTCTACAGCGAATCTAATTTAATCTCATCTAATATTGGAAATCCACCATAGCTGCTCTATAGTGAATCTAATTTCCTGTATGTGAGATATCCATATAATAATCTCCCTTTGACACTGACTAAAAGATTCTGCATAGAAAGTAGCAATCAATGAGACTCCAGCAAACTTACCACCTTAAAAATCCATAAATATACCAGAACAGAAGATGACTTACAAAATGAGAAGAATGAGAGGAAAAACATGGAAAACTCACTAACTAGATGGTGCAAAATGATGGTTAAGTTACTGAAGTATAAATTAAAGGAAGAAACATCAGTTTACATTTCTAAACTAAAAGGATAGAAGAGGTCCTTAACAAAAAGTAATGACTCAGAAATAAGGTAAAATGATGATCATTTAGTCAGACAATCTTTCTATTTAATGCTAGCATATTCATAGTATTACCTGCCATCAGGATGATTAGGATTCAATACACAATAAGTGGGTGGTAATATGATTGTTACTCTTCAATATAGGACAAGGTTTACTGTTTTGCATTATTGATAAATCCGTTTAATATTTGGTACAAAACTTTGCGCTTGAATAGTACATGCCTACAGGACAATGATGGTAGGTGTCTGAAATGTATACATAAAATCATGTACACACAAAATTATACTGTAAGGTGTATACCTTTAATCCTTCTTCAGGATTCAACTGCCTTTTATTTTATTTATTTATTTATTTATTTTTTGGTTGTTTCTGAGTGTGAATGGTCAAGTGTAGAAGGTGAAAAGGCCAGTGGAAAAAGTCAAGCAGAGAATTAAAAAAGAATAGCCAATTTAGATAAATTACAAAGACAGGGAAAATGATTTTAAAAACTACAAGTAAGAAGGCAAGGAGGCCTAAAAAAGCCCCTCTTGTAGCTCCCTGCATGTGAAGTACACAGCGCTCTGTCCTGCAGAAGGAACTCATCAGAAGAGCACGGACTAGGTGCATAATGTGTCTGCAGTATTTATCGAGGGAGAGATTTCAACAACAATCTCCTAATATCTAAATGACATGTATTAAAAGGTCAGTGGACCACTTTTCTGTTTGCACTAAGATCAAGCGTGAAGACGTGGGCTTATACAGCAGCAGAAGTATTCAGGGAAGGGTTTCATAAAGAATCTCACAGCAATGTGGGTAACTGACATGGGGATAGGGTAGCAAGAGAAGTTGTGACATGGCTTTTTTGAAAGTGCTTTGAAATTGTAGAGATTCTCCTTTCTTCCTGAAAATCACTTTTCAAGCTCCTCTTTAGCCCCCTAAGATTGTAAGATTATGTGTTAAGGACCAATACAAAAATACAACTATAGAGGACTTAAAGGTTAGATTTAACCAGAAAATGCAAGTCAAAATATATAGTCTTCACTATGTTTATTATACAGTAACAGGCCCAGAAAATTAGTTGGCACAACTCAAAATATTTCTGTAGCAGAAGGTACACTAGGAAATGTAATACCATCAATTAAAATTTTAACAATATTAATTCAGGCAGCTTACTAATTCCTGACAAAAACACAGTTTTAGAGAACATCGGTCTCAGATATTAGAGATGTTTTCTTTAGTACACTCTTTAGGAATTCACATCAAATACCACAGTCCAACAAAAGCAAATGTTCTAAAATCTTTGGTGTAATTTTAATTAAATAATATAGTGCATGTCTCCCATAGAGAACTTTCTTAAAGTTACAAGATGTTCCTGTCAACTATTTAAAATAATTAAAATATGGGTTGAAAAATTCACTGAAAAGTTGCTTTTGAGCATCATTCTTGAATGAATTAGGACTCTTATTCTCTGCAAGCTCCTTTTGTCACAGGAAAAATCAATTTTATCAACTGCTATTCAGTATAAAAGGCTAGAAAAAATTCTATGGAAATACAGAGAAGGGAAGAAATAATTCTAAGATATCCTCCTTAAAAATAAAAAAGTCAAACAGAAAATTCAGATCAGGTTTCTTAGTTTAAGTACTGTATACGTGATTAGGATCCACGAGCATCACACATCCAGTGCATTTACCTTCATAATCAACCCACTTTAAAGCACATCCTACTTTGATAAAACATTGTCGCCTACCATTTCTGTTCAGTCAACTTAGTATTATTTTTGCTTTTAATTTCAAGTGCCTTGAATGTGTTTCATATTTCAAATTACCTGAGAAAATGAAGTCTTCAAACCCTGAGTTGTTTTTACATCCTCACAGTTTCCAGCCATACGATGCCACAGGAAGCTCCATCTACTTTGAACCAGTGACTGCCAAAGTTTCGTGTCTCATGTTAAACTTTTCCTCCTCCCTTCAGCATCATTTTTCTAGTTGCCTATATCTGTGGTTGCCATTTAAAATATTATCAAAATTACCAAAGGAATTTGTTAAAAACAAAGGCAGTGACCTACTTCAGATTATGGATTTAAATCTAGATTCATGTCTGGAAATTTGGGTTGTTAATGAGCCTTCTGCAAGTCCCTCAATTCCGAGGAGATTATCAAATTCTGTCACTTTCAGGATATACTTTATGAAATACCTATGAGCCTCGATACTAACATTGAGCCCTAGGATAAATTCTTTTGGATCTCAATCTCCATGTATTATTCAACTTAACCATCACAAAATCCTACACGGTGAGTATTACGGTTTCTATTTTACACATGAGGAAACTGAGACTCAAATAAATTAAGTGTCATGTGGAGCTATGAGCACTGCCAGCACGCTGTGTAGACTGCATGGTGGAATGAAGAAAATAAAGTGTTGAGGAGTGAGACTTTTGTTTGAATCCTGGCAGAGCCACTAAAACAACCTGATTTTGTCATTCATTGCCTTTGAGCCCCAGTCAGTCATAGTAAAATGGTAATTATAACGCTGACCTTCATAGGTGATAGCATACCATGGTCTCTCAAAAAACATTATTCCACTTCCATTTGCCATTTCAATTTATTTCTTGCTATTTCGTTAAATATTAATTCTGTCTTAAAAATTTTGGGGGCCTGTTTATCTCTGAATAGAAGTGCATTACCTCCTTCGAAAATATTATTAGATGTTACATCATCATCTAAATATGATTATTTAGAAGGTACATCTGTCATGTAAAGCACCATAGTAAGCTGTTCAAATAAGTGAAAATTGAAAAGAATAAACCAATTTTCAAAATTAGGATAATATTAAACAGAAGCAAAACTACTAAATAAAATTATGATACAGCCATATATGATAATGTTATGCAGGTACTGACAATTATAATTTTTAAAGAGCATGATAAAATAATAGGTACAAAATAGGACATAGAATATATGTATAACCTAATTTCATATTAAAATGTGTGTACAAATGAATGTGTATATATAAGCAGATGTGCATGTAATTCTATCAAAAAATAGAAAAAAAAATGCCAAGATGTTAATAGTAGCTATCTCTTAGTTGAATAATTATGGATAATTTTTGCTTCCTTCTTTGCTGTTTGTATTACATATTTTCAGCAAAAAGCATTTTATAGTGAGAAAAAGTAAACATTACAAAATAAGTATAATTTATAAATAAAACAAAATAAATAAGGAATGCTGCAAACTATTAAAACAGGTCATGATATCATGTACTTCTTTTTTATCTTGAAATACATAATATTTGTTACAAAGATTTCTTTAGATTCTAACATGCCCCACACCATATAATGC